ATGTGTTCAATACTTTTTCCCTGTGCCATTCCACATTATTACAAATAACTTAATTTCTGGACATTTATGGTTTGATTTCTTTGTATGTATGGATCACTATCCAAATCTGGTGAAAATTTCATGTCATTAGCACCTCTAGTAATATATTTACTGAGAAAAATGTTGATGTGTTCAATACTTATTTTACCCGCTGTTTATATAAAATCATGAATGAAATTTGTGGATCTTTATGATAAATTAAAATAAGATTTAAAACTCTTTCACCTAGAGAACATGGCAAGTTGTTATTTTTTTAATACATATAATTTTTTGACTGGGGTGTTAAACAGAGAATCATCTTTGCTTTAATATCGGGCAAACAAATGTTCATTTAATTAATGTGGTTTGATTAGAAAAACTCAGTGAATCTCACAGACAGACTCAGCCTGCGCGCGCAGGGACGCGCTCATACAGCAGTCTCTCAGGAGGAGAGTTTAGTCACTCATACAGAGTTGGACAGATCTGTTCAATAACAACATTCTGAAGACATATTTAATATAGCTAAAGTTAGGTTTTACAGAACAAAGTCTCAAAGCGCTGGAGGAGATGCCAGGACTGATCACTGCAGCAGCTCGAGTCGAGCCGGCCCGCTGCTTCAACACTGAACGTCCCACCCTGCTCTGCTCTGATTGGACAAAACGGCTTTGGACTTCGTCTGATTTTTTGAAGGCCGTGTCCGTTTGATCCTTATATCAGGGTCCTGCTCTGGCGCACCGAACAACGATCCATTCACACCAGTGCGGCTGGATTCTTTTTATTTTTTATTTTTAAGAAATCAGGTCGCGTTTGCGACCAAACTGGTCACATTCTAGAGCCCTGCTAGCTGTTGTTTTGACAGACAATCAGGTACAATCTTAGGTACGCAAGGGAGCTTTATGACATTCGATCTGGTGCGCTTTTTCCTTTTTTGATCGCGCATGTGTACCTGTGCACCGCTTATGTGCACCTCTGCCTATAGAGACAAATCAGTTCTTTAAATCTCACACATCAGAGGCAGTGGGGGTTCAGTGTCTTACCCAGAGACACTTCAACAAGTGACTGAAAAGCGGGGAATTGAACCGCCAACTCTGATATAGATGACTCCCTTAACCACTCAGCCAATGCAAATTTGCCTTTTTGTCAGTTTTGGGCAACTTTACTGCCTGTCATTTCAGTTGTCTCTTCTCATTGGCTGTTTCAGAATCAGGGATAAAACACTTTAGCAAAGAAGGGGAGCCTCTCACCCTTCTCTTCCTGAATAAATCTATCTACTTCATTTGAAGTTTACAAACACTAAAGTAATAAAAAGAGATTGAAAAAAATATCTCTTATTATTCTGGAATTTAGCAAATAGAAACATTTTTCGTAATCCTAATTGGCCTAAAACTGGAAAAGTTTGTTTTGATTTCACATCAGACATGGTGGAAAAAATGCATATGTGCCTTTTTATATAGCGTATGTAAACCTCTGGTTTCAACTTTATATATTCTATTGCAGTAACTCCCATACAGGCATATCGACTGTCAAAGTGAATTTTTTTTTATAAATTTGACTGTTTACAAACTTAACATTGCCCAGGTGGCTTTCTGTATATGGACTAAAACGTCACATGCCTTCATCTTTCAGCAATGAGCAATAATAAAGCTAACATTTTTTTGTGATATAGTATTCTCATTGCTGAAAACCAGCACTGAAGTTTGACGTCGTAATTGGTTTGTTTCCCTCTCCAGGCTGTAAACTGTCAGAGTTTGAGCGCGTGACGGCTCTGAAGGTGTACAACTGGTTCGCCAACCGTCGGAAAGAGATGAAGAGACGAGCAAATATAGGTAAGACCTGATATCCTCGTAGGAAACGGACATCCACGCACATCAGTGTTTCACCAGCCTCTCTGCTACCGTCTGAACACAAGCAGAAGCCGCCATCTTGGAAAGCCATGGAATCGAGGTGCCAAGTCCGAGTTGCCACTCCAACGGCGAGGAAGCAGAGATGCAAGAGTTTGCTGATCAGGTGAATCATCGATTCTCTGAGCAGGTGAGTGGAGATGCCTGGATGACGTATAGGAAGAACTATTTATTTAAGAGCAATAAATAAATTTCATAAATAAGATTTTATTTCACCTTGTGTAAATATTTTAAACATGGAACTGACAAACGTTTTACATGAAATATAAATGGCAACACACTGAATGGCCTATTGATTCTAGTATCGATACCAGTATTAGTGTTGTTCCAGAGTATCGAGGCATTTTGTACGTGTATGAGTACGTGTAAAAAAGCTGGTATCTGGCCTTTACCTGTGTTGGTATTGGGACACCACTACTAAGACGTCCACAGCTCATATATAGAAATAAAGCACCCCCTTTAAACCAACAGAAAGTACTCTAATGAGTCCAAAATACAAATATACTGCCTCTAAATCTGCCTGCTCTTTCACAGGAGGACACATCTTCCCAGAGGGTTCTTGACCAACAAGATCCCTCCTCAATGGCCACTGTGGAGGTGTTGGCCCCGCCAAGTCCCAGCTCTCAGGTTATGGAACAGAAAGATGATGATTCAAAAAAAGAGTCCATGGATGAAGAGTGACTAAAGCCAGCATTTTTTTTTCAGTCAGCATAATTTGATTTTGAATCAAATGAAATAGGACAAGAATAAATGCCTCTTGCTTCACCCATGTAGGACCTTTTGGGCCCGTGACACCCAGAGCGCTAGTGGAAGAGGGTGTTGAAGCTGACTGAGGTGCCTCAGACGGTGAGGAGGGCACTGTATTTATCAACTGTAATCCTGCTTATATTAATGGCAATATACAGTGTATGTATAAATATATAGGGTATAAGGTATATAGAGTACATCAATATATAGTGCATTCCAAGATGGTATTAAAACGCCTAAATTCTTCAGAGGAAAGGTTATGTAAAAAAAAATACCTCACCACTTTAAGCTAAGCTTTTTCTGTTAACTTTGCCACACAACTTGTTTTGTTGTTTTTTAAGAGTGCGCTGCCTGGTGACATGAATGTGCTGAGCCTGCAGGTCAGGTATGATTGGGTGTGAGGTAAAGTGTGGTCTCATTTGGTGAGGGGGCAGGAAGTCCTCTTCTTGTTTTAATGTCTTTCACTCCACCTGGACTGTGAGACGATCGATTGGTTGCCATCCTATCCGTTAAAGCCCTGAGGAACAACTCAAATCTCAGGTAATCCCAAAAAAAACCAAGACGGTGATGAATGGCACCAAGTTTGTCTCAACACTTGCTTTATGTTCTTTGTCTTTAAAGATCGCCAAATGTTTATATCTTTCTTATTATATCCAAACATGCCTAGAAGAAATTGCTAGTTTATTTCTTTATATTCAGTGATGCTTTTTAGTTACTTTCATGTCCTAAAACTCAGCCAGGGAAGCTCGACGAGTAACACAAAGTGTGCTCTTTAAAAAGAAAAAAAAGAAAAAATGATAAGAAATTGTTTGTTGTGTCCAGAAATGATACAAGCATTGTTTTTAAGGCCTCTTGCAGTTTGTATGACGATCCCGCTATGACGTAAAAATTAGCCAAAACATGATGGTTTTAACAAAGGAGTGTATTAGGAATGCATTTGGCCCATTCTGTTCAGTAGAGTGTGATTGGTGGCTTTAAGCATGTGCAATGTCTCCATTAGAGGTTTATGAAGCAGCTGTACACTGGATTCTTTGGGTTCCAATTCCCAACAATGACAGGGGGTTAACAATGGTGTCCATATTCTTAGTTGATTGATATTATTTAAATGAAATTTTTCCGGTTATGGATGGGTCATGAGTGCAAGAAATCTAGAAGGGAGATCTAGAAATCTCTCTTCCCAGAGACACTTTTCACAGTTCCCCTTTGAAGATTCTATTTAGTGTTCCCAGGTAAGAGTGTATACAAATTCCTTCAGTGAGTTCTGGGTCTGTCCTGGCGTCTCCTTCCACCAGGATATATCCAAAAAGGGGGCGTTAGGAATGATCTTAATCTAATGCCTGAACCCAGGCTCATTTGAGCCCTTTCCATGCAAGGAAGGCCCTGATGCATAGATCCATAGCAGATTCTGTCCCCTCTTCAGTGACAATCAAGACTCCCAGATCCATGGACTCCTGCTGGATGCAGAGACTCACCTCTTGGCCTGGAGGTAGACTTCCATCACTAGGGAAAATTTGAATATTGAGAAGGATGACATTACAAATTAGAAAATGTGTAGGAACCCTGCTGGTCCAAAAGAGTTGTGCCAGGGTATGTGTCATGAGGATGCCAAAAGTTTTGGAAAAAAAAGTCTTTAGTTGCATCATAATCATCGTCACTTCGAAGGGGATTTTGCTAATTTGTCTCCCATCTATCCTCACTCTGTAAGGCCGTGTGGATCTTTAGTGGAGTAGCGGGGTCGTCATCCAGTGTGAAGAGGGCTTAACAGAGAAAACGCTAACGCCTCGTTGAAATTTGCTTAAATAAGTGAATTTCACTCTTAAGTGTATTAACCCATATTATTAAAAATAAACCCCTTACTGGGTGTTTTTTGTTCAAATAGCAAAATATTGTTTTTCAAACTTTGGATTGAAAATTTGCTCTACTTTTTGCATTGTATAGATGATACTGATTGGCCAAAGGCCTCAGGAGTTACCTCCATAGTGTTCATATAATGAACAGAAATGCTTGTTCCCAAATGGCCCCCAGCAGGGTGCCACCATGTTGCCTCCTAATGCCAAAGCTGTGCCAAGAAGAGCCGCAGGGCAATCTGTGCTTACAGGAACAGGAAGTGACAGACAGTTCGTATGTTTGTTTGCTCAGTACAACACTAGCCACCTCTAGCTTACCTCAGAACAACTATGTGTCATGAATGATCTACAGACCATAACTGTCAGGAAACAATGACGGCAGCTGGTATTGTGACTCGCTGATACAGACAGTGTGATGTAGCAGTTATGGCAGCAGGTTTTGCCCTGTCTTGGTAGTGTGCACTTACCTCAAACACTTCTTTTGTCTGGCTTTGGACAGGAATCCCCAAAGCTGCTGCAGTTTCTTATTATTCCGCTCCTCTCTACCTGCTTTTATCTGACAAGGGAAAACAGTAACAATAATAAAAGTGTACACAATCTTTGCCATGTGTCTCTGTTTGATTTATGGTGTGATAGAATGCTTGTGTTTGGAGGATTGCAGTAATTAGAGTCGTTGCTGAGTTCAATCTAATCATATTAAATTTAGTTGAGATGCCATGCAACCATTATTTTATGTTATCAGTAGTTATTTCCAGAAGCACCCCATGTCAATCCCCTCTGGTAAAAAAAAAAAAATTAGAGTGCCGCTGAATTAATTGAAGTAATCTGTTACGAGGCTTAACAGATTTCCACACTCGTCCAGTAAAGCAGTGAAGATCATTAAACTCCGATAAAACAATAAATACTGATTGTTTCTGTTGGAGCAGAGGTTGGGTTAAAATAAAGAAGCAAATGTTTGATACAGTGGTTTGCAAAAGTATTCATACCCCTTGAACTTTTCCATATTTTGTCACATTACAACCACAAACATAAATATATTTCACTGGAATTTAATGTGAAAGACCAACACAAAGTGGTATACAATTGTGAAGTGGAAGCAAAATTTTACATGAATCAAAACATTTTTTACAAATAAAAAACTGAAAAGTGCGACGTGCAAAAGTATTCAGCCCCCTTTTCCCTGAGTGCAACCAATTGCATTCAGAAGTTGCCTGATGACTGCTAATGACTCAAAAGGGTCCACCTGTGTGTAATCTAATCTCAGTACAAATACAGCTGCTCCGTGACGGCCTCAGATGTTGGTTAAGAGAATATTGGGGAGCAAACAGCATCATGAAGTCCAAAGAACACACCAGACAGGTTAGGAATATGGTTTTGGAGAAGTTTAAAGCAGGCTTAGGTTATAAAAAGATTTCCCAAGCTTTGAACATCTCACGGAGCACTGTTCAATCCATCATCCGGAAATGGAAAGAGTATGGCACCACAGTAAACCTGCCAAGACAAGGCCGTCCACCTAAACTTACAGGCCGAACAAGGAGATCACTGATCAGAGAGGCAGCCAAGAGGCCCATGGTGACTCTGGATGAAATGCAGAGAGCCACAGCTCAGGTGGGGGAAACTGTCCACAGGACAACAATTAGTCGTGCACTACACAAATGTGGTCTTTATGGAAGAGTGGCAAGGAGAAAGCCATTGTTAAAAGAAAACCATAAGAAGTCCCGTTTGCAGTTTGCCAGAAGCCATGTTGAGGACACAGCAAACATGTGGAAGAAGGTGCTTTGGTCAGACGAGACCAAAATTGAACTTTTTGGCCACAATGCAAAACGCTATGTGTGGCGGAGAAAGAACACTGCACATCACTCTGAAAACACCATCCCCACTGTCAAATATGGTGGTGGCAGCATCATGCTCTGGGGGTGCTTCTCTTCAGCAGGGACCGGGAAGTTGGTCAAAGTTGATGGGAAGATGGATGGAGCCAAATACAGGGCAATCTTGGAAGAAAACCTGTTGGAGTCAGCAAAAGATTTGAGACTGGGGCGGAGGTTCACCTTCCAGCAGGACAACGACCCTAAACATAAAGCCAAAGCTACAATGGAGTGGTTTAAAAAAAAGAATATTCATGTGTTAGAATGGCCCAGTCAAAGTCCAGACCTAAACCCAATTGAGAATTTGTGGCAAGATCTCAAAACTGCTGTTCACAAACGCTCTCCATCCAATCTGACTGAGCTTGAGCTGTTTTGCAAGGAGGAATGGGCAAGAATTGCAGTCACTAGATGTGCAAAGCTGGTGGTGACATACCCTAAAAGACTTGCAGCTGTAATTGCAGCAAAAGGTGGCTCCACAAAGTATTGACTCAGGGGGGCTGAATAATTTTGCACATCGCACTTTTCAGTTTTTTATTTGTAAAAAATGTTTTGATTCATGTAAAATTTTGCTTCCACTTCACAATTGTATACCACTTTGTGTTGGTCTTTCACATTAAATTCCAGTGAAATATATTTATGTTTGTGGTTGTAATGTGACAAAATATGGAAAAGTTCAAGGGGTATGAATACTTTTGCAAACCACTGTACATCAGTGTCAGACTGCACAATTTTTTGCTGTTCAAAGTGGGCCTAATTAATGACTGGGATGACAAATCATGAAAAGGTGACAATGAAATTTGCCAAAATGCATACTGATGACGAGCCAGAGCTCCTAGAAGAACGTTCTCTGGACAGATGAGACAAAACGAGCTTTTTGGCAACAAGTCCATATAGCTCTGTGTTCACAAACCCACAAATAAAACAGAAAATAACACATTTCATTACATTTGGATGCTACCTTGCATCTGAAACTGGATGTCTCGAATCTGTGCAGAGTTCAGTAAAATCTCAAGACTATCAAGGCATTCTGGAACAAAATGCTGCCTTGTTAAAAACATTGTCCTCCAATATAATAATGACCCAAAACACTAAACAATGTCTCGGAACAAAACACTGGACTTTTATAAAACCCGATCTAAATCCTGCAGTCGAGAACAAACCCTTCAAACCTGAGACTCCTGCAACATTTTGTTTATGAGTGGACTAAAATACCTGTGTAATGGAAATCCCTTGATTGCAGTGAAAGTCTCAGAAAGTTGTGCAACAAAATATTGATTTACAGCTGCCATCTTTTATGATGAGGCCAGTTTCATTAAAGTTATTCTGTTGAACCAACATTTTGAAGTAAAAACTAATTTTCATTGGTTGAGTTGCAGTAAATTTATTTTAGTACTTTTGTCATTACGAGCTATTTTAATAATGATTTTATTGCACAATATTGCAGGTTGTGTCTGTATATCTGGACTTACGGTGAGTTAAGTGAAATTATCTTTTTTTTGATGACAACATGGTTCTGAAAAAGAGGTTAAAATTTTCCCAACAACAAGCTATACTTACCCTGACCAGGTTGAAGTCTGCATTACCAGAAAAAAAGGGCCCTAAGGGGTTCATTGCAGCACAGAAACTTCATTGTTCTCTGAGTAAATCAAAGCTGTGGAACATTACATACAGTAGATCGATGGGCTCAAAGTCTGTGAGCAGCAGAACTTGGTGTTGTATGGTGTCCAGTATTTCAGCAGTCCCTAAAACATTTCTGCGCTTTAGCTGAAAGTATCTTTCCTGTCCCCAAATCAACACATCCACCTAAAACTATGTCAGTGCACAATTCTTTTTCCAATAATATTTAAAAGGGAAAATCCAGAGTAAATATCTGATAAAAAAGTAAAGTTTATATAACTTTATTGATAATAGCATTGCAGACCAACAATCTATTGTCTAAAGTTATAAAACCTTCCAGCACTTTCAGGACCTTGGACAGTTACTTCAGCCCTTCACTAGCTATGTTTGCATGCAAAAAATTCTTTGATCGGATTGAAATGTATTCGGATTAAAAATCAGAATGTATCATTTACATGGGCACAATCCGATCATGACGAGTATTTACATGCACCAGGCTTTTATTCAGAATAGAAGCACTGACGTGCAGCTGCTAATTTTCCCTAAAACAAAAAACACAGAAAACAGTTCTACTTCTGTGATGAACATAAACAAACAGCTTCTGAGCACTCAGAATGGATCTGCAACAGCTTTTAATAATGGTGGAGACATCACTGCACTCTGGTTCAGCTACAGGTGACACGCAGACTTTTTTTGCGAAGCGGCGCATGCTGTGTGTCTTCCTTCTTTACTAAATGAGAAAACGGGAGGAGAAGTTATGTGCTGATGGAAACAGTGCAGCTGCTCCTCCCTCCTCAAAAGAGCAGAAACTGGTGGATGAAAGTCAGCAGACAAGCACAATCAGGTCAGTTTTCCACAATCATTTGATCGGATTAAGTGTTTACATGCACGTTGTTCGGGTTATCAATCCGGCATAAACCACTTTTCTCATTCCGATTAAAGATTCATTTGGATCGAGCTGAATGGGGTCAGAATAATCCGAATGGGGTGTTTAGATGATGCATTTTTATTCCGAATGGCTATTTAATCCGATTACTTATGTCCATGTAAACGTAGCTACTCTCTGAAGTCCTAAAACATTCCAGCACTTTCAGGACCTTGGACAGTTCCTTCAGCCCTTCACAATGTTTAAAGCAGTGATTTCCATGAGCATATTACAGGGGTTACATGGAAAATTTTCCCATGTGTTTAAAAAAATAAAAATAGGACTGAGATACGTTTGTAGGGCCCTATGATTTCCGCAATGTGGAAATTGCAGACGGATGCACAGAACTAACACAAAATGGAATCCAGTACAAAACGTGGAATCTCAGAATTTGCTCATTTGGGTGAGTTTCTGACGTATTTTGGACGCTGCTGTTTTCTGCACCTGCCATTACCTGGTTTATTTATTTAACTACCTATTTATCTTTGTTTAATTTGAGTTGAAAAAATAAAATGCCTGAGAATGAAGTGTTCTAGGGGGTTAAATAAATAATTTTCATTTAATAATCAGTTGTAGTACATTATAGTTTTGGAGAATCATCATTACTTTTAGTGGTATGACAAAATGACTCAGGGTTACACAAGTCTAAAAAGGTTGGGAACTGCTCTAAATAACCACAAATCTTAGAATCTATTAGTTTCTAAAATCGCACTGGATGCTTAAGAGCCTTTTGTTTGTGATTTGAAGCAGGCGTGTTGAAAATGGGGGATGGGGGTTGGGGACCTCTGCTTCACAACATGGCTATGTCCATCAGTTTTTAGATGAGCTGCTGCCATGTTTCAGATTAGACATTTGCGATTTGTTTACCGTGTTCCATTGTGAGTAAAAAATGTGCATGCAAGATTTGAAAACAATTGCAGGCAGCTTGTCCGGATGCATCTCAGTAATCCAGGTAAAACAAAATCGAAAGAATTAAAAAGGTCCTCTGGGCGGGTTCTTCTAATCTTGCAGTAAACATTTTGTTTTAATACATTTTACACAACTTTTTACTATCACGGTTGTGATCCTAAATATGTCTTTCTCAGCAGGTAGGTTGTGGTTCTCAGGTTTTTACATTGATTGAGTTATTGAAAATCAGTGTTTGGATGTGTTTACAGAGCTGAATGTTTCCGTTAGTGTGAAAGAAAGCTTGCAG